CACACACACACACCCCAAACAGCTTATATGCAGCTCTCCCCACAGGTGGTGGGACTACAGGGAGGAGGCTTCTCATATAGTTTTTTGGGCGTTGCTGCCATGGACAGAATTCTGACTGAAAGAACAAGCTCACAAGTATAATCTGCTGAAATGTGTTTCCTCCATGGGGTGTCTAGTTTTATCCTTAAATATGAAATGAGGAGCTCCGTCATCCACGGGGGGTAAATTGCTAAATTTGCATTTCTACTTCAGCTTTAACTCCTATTTCACACGTGCCTCTGTAAAATCTCTGTTTGAATGGCCAAACAGCCCCTTTGACCTCTCTGTATATCATAAAAAACTGGAACACCCCCACCACAGACTCATGCTGATCCAGATTTACAACCATCATTAGCATTTATTATACATTACACATGATATTCACTTCCAGTAAAAGAATTTAAAGGTCCAGCTGTATTGTGCTGAGAAGAAAGACAGTAAAAGACACGAGCTGCAACAAAATATCTGCAGAGCATTTGTTTTTACATTTAATATTCTTCCGAGCAGCATGTGCAATGAACTGCATGTGTCCCTGCCAATGAACGTTGCCAGAAACCAACCAAAGTCAAATTCTTCCTTTGCTTTCTTTTCCTGTTTTCCCTTTTTTTCCTCGACTTCTCATCTTTCCCTGCTCGCTGCCTTTTTATTTATTTATTTATTTTGCTAGAGCAGCAATTCAGGCCATCTGCTGGCACCGACTGGCAGCTGTTATGCCATGCGAGGAACCAGTGGCGCACCACCCTTCATCCGTTATTAGTTCTTCAGAGAGATTTAGATGGAGGGGAAGGTGGAATGTGTGGCAGGAGATTTACTGAAAACTTTAGGGAAAGGAGCAGGCAGCCAAAAACTGAAGCCAGGGAATCTGGTTCCAAAAACAAAGTGTTGGTGTGCTTCCCCCCCCCCCCCCCTATTCAGCTCTTCTTTTCCTTCTGTGCTCTCGTGCCACTGTTTACCACAATTCTTTTTAATCCCAAAGAATCACACAAACTAATTAAGTTTCAACTATAATGTAAATCCTCCTCGTAAACTTTTCATTGGTTTTTGACAATGTTTTATGTCTCACTTTTACATCACTAATGATTGTTGTTCTGCAGATATTCTAGTTATCATCCATTTTATAATACTTTGCAATGAATTGAGGGCTTCACATTGTGCCTTTTTTTCAGTAATTTCTTGTCTCCAAGTGTAGATAATAAATATTCTTATTTGTAGAGGTGGTTTTGAGGTTACTGAAGGGTCAGCTGCACTTTGAGGGCCGTTTAAAAAATAAGGAGAGGAGGAAAGTGGTAGAAAAAAAATCATTTGGATGATAAACTGAGAGCTGCCCAATGACCCTGTGCACATTTTTCGTAGTTGCCTTCACTTTAATCTAAAGAAAAATTTAAGAAAAAAAAAGCGAAAAAACATATCTAAGTGATTCCATGTGGATTTTTTTTTAGTTGTTCCTTTATAACTGTGAAATTCATTGAAACTAAGAACCTTCGGTTAGCACAGGTTTAATATAAGTTTCAGACTCCCAGAAGCCTGATTTTATTAAAAACTAATGGGAAATAAATCTTTTTTTTTTCTTAAAGGGATCCCTGATTAGTTGTAACTAGACTTTATTTGATGAACATATATTTTAACTGTAAAATAAAGACTGTAAAAATCCTGTAGGCTGTTTAGTTTTGTAAATTTTTAATATTAAATTTTAACACGGACGGAACCATTTTATTTACACGCAAAGCATTCTGGGTAAATGATGATGTGGATAGGTCCTCGGTGTGGGCGAGCTATATCCACCCTGAAGGTTAATCTTGGACAATATCTGGCGATTGACTCTT